TTGCTTGCACTTGTCTGCAGTTCGATAACAAATTTTCACAATGCAGCTCCTTAACAATATTTTGTACACGCATACGCCTATATATACCATACACACATATGCACATGGTGTATGCGTCCCTCGCTTGCGTGTTTAAAATTGCCTTTAGTCATCCGACACATCCATGCAATACACAAATGGAAAAAGACAAGTAAGGTAGCGCTAACTTCGGGCATCTTCGTTCGCTGCCATCGTACATTAAAATTATAAAGAAGAATTAGACTATAATTAAATTCGTTGTTCGGTTATTAGATGAAGTTAGGGATCTATTGTTCGTCGACAGTTGGGTACATTTAACTTGAATGTACCCAAATTTGTATCTGTAAAGTCGGCAGCATTTCTTACAAATTTTTGTGTAAGTTTTTCTGCCGCTATGCCAATCACATCAACAACCTGTTAAGTACAATTTAATATGGTCGTATACCTCACTTCCTAGAATACAGTTATAAACGAGTTGGCAAAGTAAAGAGTTGTTTCGGGTTCTACTTAAATATCTCATGAGAGGTTAAAACAGTGTGGAGCCCTAGAAAGAGTCCTAATTTTGACGATTTATTATAGAAGCAAGGAAAAAGGAATCGAGTTATCTCATCCAGGCTTTATTGAGCATAAAACTTTAGTGTTGATTTTGAAGAATCCGAAACCCTTTTTGCAGTTTTCAGAAAAACTTTTAATTTCTTAGTTTTACACTACAGTGCATTGAGCAGGAAAGAAAATCTTTTTTTTACTATTCTACCAATTTTTGCGACCCTTCTTTGAGCCTAGTAGAGGGTGCGTCTTTGACTACTTTTTATTTCAAGTAATGCTCATTCGATATAATTATACAACATATATACGAGTATGTAGGTGCCGTTAAGACCGATTCACCGACTATAGCGATATTCATTGTTGACAACATTTTGGCAACCATTCTTTTCTGAGCCTGCGAACAGGAACAATTCGTTGAGGACTAGATTCAGAGACCTATTTTGACATCGTATTAATTGGTAATAATAATTTATTTTCACCCATGCGTAGGTTTATTGTGAGCTCACACTGCACGCTCTTTATACAGAACCAAAGTTTTCATGAATATGTTACAACCTGTTTCTTTAATATGTTTAGAGTGTCGTCTATTTGCAACAACCTAATTTTGTGTAAACTTGGATCTAACCCCATATGTAACTCTATTATTTTACGGTGTTACAAACTAACGCTAAGTGAACAAAACTATGTTATTCTGCACTTTGCAACATGGTGCAAGAGTATATAAGTAAATATACATACATATTTACAAATACCATAGTTACACGCACACTCTACTACACTAAGCGGGCTGCATTTTCGTAGCTTATGATTTTGCATGAATGTTGTGACATTAGCGTTCAATGACTTTTCCTTTTGTTGTGGCAGTTAACTGTTGCATGTGGAAATAGTGTTGAATAGCGGCGTTTTAACTTAATTAAGCTATCAAATATAAAATGCAATGCAAATAAGTAAGTTTTACTAAATTTTGAAATCCTGGTCGAACGAAATTAAAATATTAAACAGAACAACAAATAATACCCAATTCTAACAGAACAGAAAAAGAGCATTTAGTAGCATTTTAATTGTTGTTGCAGTGATATAAAATATTCCTTAAATAGTTTTGAAGAATGTTGCCGAGGTAGAAAGTCCCTTGCCGGCGGAAAGCATGGTATGCTGTTTCTTTTAGTTAAAAAAAATTGTCTAAAATTGTCTGTGTACACACTCTAATGTACACAATTGACAAATTTTCTGGCCGGACCATAATCGAAAATATTTATTGTTGTTTAGAAAAGAAGTCTTTTTGATTATAAGGATTTTATTTTTTGGCTAAAATTGCGTTAGTTTGTCAGTATAATAAAGAATTTATTTACGTTAATTCCAAAGGCTTTTTATGCAATAAAATACCGACATTAGTTGAACGCGCCATCAACAACAATTTAGCATAAAAATATTTCCTCTAACTTTACGCAAAGAAATATATGTTTTCTTTAAAAAAAACGTAAATTATTTAATACCCATTATAAAAAATATATGTTGCCATTTTCATCAGGGTTATAAATATCCTAAACAGCGTTTTTTTTTCTAATTAATTTCATCGTTGCCGTATAACAAATTAAGCAAAGAAATTACCTCAGTGCGAAATATTTTATTTGCTTTCGTATTCTTTTACGTTAAGCAAAATAAATATCTAAATATGCATGCAAATATAAATATCAAATAAATTTGTCAATAAAAACAAAAGTGATTGTGATTCGCGCCTTTATAAAGACTCACACCATGTCTAAAGCGCCAAGTATGCGATAAATTTTTACTTATAGACGCATGTGTTCATATAATATACATTTGTACATATACATATGTACAATATGTATGTGTATATTGCAATATAGTTTTAAACACCCGCTACCAGCACAATGATGGGCTCACTACAATTTATTTTGATCAAATTGAAAGCACACCAAATTCACACAAAGTAAAGCACTGTCTTGCTGCATGATCAGCAAGCAATTCTGATTCTATGCTACACAGAAAAAATATTTTATACTAATTCTTCGCTGAATTTAAATAGAATGGCAAATAATTATTTCGCAATAACAGGAAGGTAACACAACTGGCTATTGTTAATTTATTATTCATTATTATTATTTTTTTTTTTTTGTGTTTGCAGGGATAATTATTCTTCGCTTTTATTTGTGTATTGTAGGGTGTTACTAGTTCTAAATCTATTTTGAGTGTTCGGATCGTTTTTTGTATAGTTTTATCCTGACTCCTCCCCCTGAAGTACTCGGTCTAATGTACTGACACAAATAAATAAAATCTTGTATGTTCCCTAGATAATGAAAATGTATCTCTTTTACCCGAGATGATAACATAAATTATAAGTAGTTGGCATATTTGTTAATATTAAATTATTTTTACTGAAATAAATTATTTAAATTATTTTTTTTTTATTCTGCGGAATTTTTTCGTTGTGAAAATTGCAAATAAAACAATTTCCCAATTTCTTTAAATGTAGTTAAAAACTTTTAGAACTAAGTAGAATTGTACATTTATTACCGTTTTCTTGATATTTGTTAAAATTTTATTGCAACTTTTTTTAAAAATTACGTTCTCGATGTCTGCAACTAATAGGAAGAAAAGAAGACCAAATGAAATTAATATATCGATAAATTCGACTGCTTTTTCATAATCATTAAATTAACTGTAAGAGGAAGAAAACATTCCTTTGGAGCAAAAAATTAACCCTTGTAAATGGCTATATGTAAATAAGCTATATAAACAAATTTGTAAAATGCCAAGAATACCAAAAAATAATTATAATAACTTTTAGAAAATATTTATCTATGCATAAGGATATTTACATATGTATATCTTTTTTGTAGAGGGTGAAAATCTAAGTGAATATACTAAAATTTGTATCCCGCAACTTCTTAAGAATCCGTCAAAAGTTTTCCTAACATTGCACAACCTTGTGCCCAAAGTTCCGCTTGCTTTATAATTTATACATTTTAAAACAAGTGCTGCTTATGCTAATGTATAGAACCAAAACAGAAAAAACTTGTTTTTGGCTCTTTGCCTTTTCTGAAAAGTAAACAATTTGTATAATATGTAGCTTGAATGCTCGTGCACGCGCGTGTACCACTCTGATATAGAAACGAATGCCTAATTAAATATTTGTACAATGCAAACAAAACAAATTAAAATGTTTTCTGCAAAAATTAAAATTGCTTCCAGCACTTGATACATATCAATATATGTATGTATATGAAGAAAGAAACGCTGGTTTATTAAAAAACAAAAAAACGAATACAAAACAGTATAATGTAAAATATATAAGTTTATAAAAATAAATAAAAAATCTAAACACACCAAAAATAAGTCATAAAACTACTGAACTTGTTTTTATTTTTAAAAAGTGGTAGTACTTATCTAGTTTTTCATATGAAAATAAGAATGCCGCTTAATTGTGGCAAATCATTTTAAATACAAGCTTTCCTAAAATATACCAGCTTTGCATCTGCCATTATTATATCTTTTGGCTAACTATGTCATTTAAACATACACCGATTTACGTTAATTTAATAGTTTTTTTTGGTTTAGCTAAATTTTGCGTGGTTAGAATGATCACAGACTATGTCTGTTGATCAGGCAGTTGACGCGTGTTATTTTTTATCATACTTTCCATTAATGCTGAATTATGTATGTATGTTTGCGTTTATTAGTAGTTATGTGCAAATGTGTGTATGTAGAGAAAACAATATGAACAGTTTAATTTGCGAAATACAAAAACCACAAAGTGGACAAATATTTTGATCTATGTATATTTTGGTTTGAACAGCAAAAAGACCTTCAACAAATTGACAATGGGAACGGGCCAAATTTAACAATTACCTTATTTGAAATAAATTTTATTACTCCTCTGCTATGGGTATTTTAGCTTTGTGCTTTTTTTAAAGTTGTTATTTATTGAATGGTAAAATATTATCAACAAGACCTTCAAGTGCTATTGAAAACTCAGCACTACTCATAAAGACAGTTAGTAATAATTCAAGATTTGCAGTGGTTTATTGAAATCAAAGCTGTGATAAAATTTTAAATCTGTATCATTTTATACATATGTTTTATATATAATATGACATGTGAGTCGCATACTTGACATGCTATCCATAACAGCGTTTGGTAAAATTAATCCATTACTAAAAAAAATTAGGGGCAAACTGAGACTTTTTAAAATAGCAGAACAATTTGAAAAAGTGAATAAGCTAAGCTGATTTATCATCTTATTCTGTTATTATAAAATAGCTGTTTTTTTCTAAATAGCTCTTTTTTCTTGAATATTTACATTTTATTTCGTTTTTCTTCGTATATATTACATTGTTCTTCACACACAAATTATTATTAAGAACTTTTATTTATAAATTGTTCTCTAAATATTGCATTTCTCTTCATTCCATTAGGCTATTGGTCCTATAATGGATCTTAACATCCATACGTTAAGTCAGAGGGATTTGGTCTACAGTGTAACACTGGAAGTGCCAACTGGGCAAGAACATCCGCCTACACATGCCTGGCAGCTAAGCATATGCATTAATTGCAATACGGCGCTCTGTGCCAAACGCCTACCCACGCAATCGCCGCCCGCGTCATCGAACGGTGCACCCGCACCACTTACAATTAACCCACCGCAATTTCTAATTAATTGTTCGCTACTTACAAATAACGAGGAATTGGCACTGAGACGTGCGGACAAATCCTTTTCCGATACCTTTGGCCTACTGATTATGGACCATCCACAGTTGCAGTTGGAGCAGGCGAATGCTGGTCCATTAAATAACTTTTCAGTTGGTTCTTTATCGACAACATCACTGCAACTGGATATGAAGCAGCAACGTTTGCGTCAGTTACAACAGAACTTGCAACAACGACTCAAACGTGAAATCGCCGAAACGGACGAGCGCATACAACGCTTTACTGAGCAACAGTTTGCCTTGTTAAAGAGCTTCCGCGAAAAATCCGAGCAGGAGTATGCATTACTTGGTCGTCTAATTCAACGAGTGCCCGAACAACAGGCAATCGATTTCTTAGACCGTGCACTGCCAGCATTAGAAGTGGTTGGTGGCGGCAATTATGTGTCACGTCGCCGCAATACGATTTCTAGTCGTCGCGACATGACGTCTGTTACGACACCCACAACACCAACAACACCGAATCCTACAAGTGGTTTGCATATGCTTTCACTGCCGTTGAACACAACAACGTCAACTACAACAGCCAGTGCCATGGATACAACAATTACTCAGGGAGTTGGTGGTACAACAGCACTCACGCCATCAACGACGAGCATAGGATTGACGACGACGATTGTCGGTAGCGGCAGTATAAATCGGCGTTTATCGAACTTTGATACACCACCGGCAACACCAGAAGCTACACCCATGAGTGTGGGTAACAGTCCCACCTTCCGACCGCAACAACAGCAACATTCGTCACTGACACAACAACAATTTGTACGCATTGCGTCAAACTCCTTTCAACAACAGTTCCCAACGCCAACAGTTGAAATGGGCGACGACTGCCTGTTCGAACTGGAGGGCATTGACGGCGGTAGCTCGGCAAGCGGTGTTGGTGTGAACACACCATTTAGTGTGCTCGGTTCAAATTTGTCACAAAAACTGCCATATCAACAACGATCTCTGAACAATCACCCGCATCCGCATCAGCATCAACATCACCACTATCACGGTAGGGATATGAGCGATGTGGACGAAAGTGAGGATGACGCTGCTGAAGCGGAAGGTAAAGTATATTGTTTTTAAATATACTGCTGTACCTCAATAAAAACGAAATTGCTTAAACTTATTAATTAATGATTTTTTTTTTTAGTGGCTCTTGACCTGGATAGTTCAATGCCCTTACCTACGAGTGCACGCCCAATCGTTGACGGGCAACAGCGACCAGGCGCAACCAGCGCAGCCGATGTCATGAATTTCGCCAAGAGTCTGCCAATTGAAATAGCAAATTCACCAATGACTACAGGACGCTCATATGTGAACGCGCTGCAAGAAGACGTAAGTCACAGACATATTTGCTAACAGGATTCTAATAATTTCTCAAACTATTTTTTTCTTCAATAGGAATTGGACAATACTGTCGACATCGCTGCGAGCATTAAAGCACTCGCCAAAAGCGTCCACGGTGAAGCAGTGTTCGGTGATTTACCACGCCCACGCATGCGTTCACAAATTTAAATGTACACAAGCACAACGTTAACTTATGCACGGATTAACAAAGTATATTGGTATTTACATGAACTATACTAGTTTGCTCAACGAAATAAATAATCAACAAATTAAGTTAAAGTGCTGGAGTCATCATTAACACATAATGTTTTTACACAACCACAATGCATATTTTCATATTACGAGCATACGAGTACATCCATTAGAATATTAAGTATAATTAAATATAAGTAACTAACTTCTCCTCTATTAGCTTTATATTTCTTTTTGAATCGTTGTAATGGAAAATATGAAATATTTAAAAAACAAAAATATGCCATTAATCGTAGACAATTTCGCTTTGATATTTGAAGAACGTTAAGTACAGCAGCAAAAAAATATGCTACATACGCTAAGAATTACAACACAAATTCTTTTTATTGCTGTCTCATGCTGTCCCTTTAAATACATTTAATTATATTAATTGGCACTGTAAAACAAATAAGGAATATTCGCATAAGTCAAATTAAACGTTTCATCTAAACATTTCGAATGCATTTGTAAAGTATATGCATATAAACTTTTGTCGCGAGCTATGCCAACACTAAAGTTTTTCTTTTTGGCATAAGTTATTATCTTATCAATCATTATAATGAAATCAAGTTTAATTTTTAACTTTAATTTGTAATAGCTTTAAGTTTGTGTTTTTATATGCTTTTTCAAACAAACAATCTGCATACTGTAACAGCTTTAATGGAACAAAACATTTAAAATTGCTTATAAACGTAAAAGCATCCATACACATACATATATAAATACAGACACATGTAAATTCATAAAGATTTTTATATGGGTGACGTTTTTTTTCTAACAAGGCAACAAATGAAAAATAAAAAAGTAAAATAAAATAAAACACCCGGTTATTCTAGCAAATTAAGCTACTTTATAAAATTTTAATGAGTCGTTTGTTTGTTAGTTGCTACATCCTTTGAATTAGTAAACATTACTTTGTTTAAATAATAATTATGCAATGTTAAGCATAATATATAAAAAAAAAAAAATTTTTTTTTTGACATAAGCATAAATGCAAGATGGCACAAACAATAATATTTCGCATCCACACCTTAGCTTTTTTTGCCTTAATGCATATGCACATATTGGATGTTAAGAAAAAATTGCTCTTCCTAAGCTTATCTACAAACATACATTCACATGTACGTATATGCCTTATAATACAAATAAACAAATTTATATTGAATTAAATGCACAAATTGGTCAAAAAGCAGTGGCTGCTACATTATGCTATGCTTTACCTGTGGTACATGCTCTGTAATAATATATTTTGTTAGCAACAAATTGTTATTTTATCTAAAATGCGTCGTGCTAACAAAAACAAATTGTGACCGCTTTTGTCGTACATTTGTAATCAATTCTTTAACTATTCCATTGACAAAGCTTCAGTGGTAGAGTTGAAACTAACTTTATAATATACTTTATTTCGGCGTGGAATCTGCTCCTACATATTCTTATTGATTTGCTTTGAGTACTCATTCATGCATATTATTTGTAAAATCTATTGTACCTACAGTACATGGTTTACTGTTACAAATAAAAGTTTTATATTCAATATTAAAAATGACTGTTATTTACAGCATGGATTATTGGCTATCCATGATTCACACATCTTATTTTGCCTAATAACGCAGTTTAGCTAATAGGTAAGTATTGGTCCTTTTATATTAAAGTATAGATATTCTATAAAGTGTTTCTACAAGTTGATATTATATTTATTGTGTGACTTAATATTAAAACTTGAAGTAGTAGTTTTAATAATTTATTTTTAGAAGAGTAGTTTCCGATGATAGAGTCAAATGCGGAAATGCTGGACATTCTCTTACATTGCCAACAAAAAAAGAAAAAAATCTCTTAAGAATTAGTTATCCAATTAGATAGGGCTGAAAGTTATTGTACGATTTTTTTAACCAAATAAATAATACTAAGTTAATAATGCTACATTATTAAAAATGTGGAAAACGGTTGGCCTCAAGGGCCATCCCTGCAACTTCTCGCTAATTTCATACGTTGACGTTCAAGTTTCGCTTTTTTCACTGCTTTTAAGCTCTTCGAGCTCATAAGTTTAATGGGAGTTTATTATAACACTATTTCCCAAAATTCTCAAAGACTTTCGTTAACGTTTTCTCGAAAGCAAATCAACCGATTTTGACCCGGTTTGCGGCAAACGATGTATTTCAAGGTTTAGAACTGATTAGTTTTTGGTGTCGATCGGTCAAGTCGTTTGGAAGAAATTCGAAAAATCTACTGGTCCGATTGGGTCCAAACTTACACGAAATTCAAGTGCAATGAAACCCTTTGGAATGCCGTTTAGTTTA